GTGATGGCCTAATGATGGCCTAATGATGGCCCTAATGATGGCCTAATGATGGCCTAATGATGGCCTAATGATGGCCTAATGATGGCCTAATGATGGCCTGGTGATGGCCTGGTGATGGCCTAATGATGGCCTAATGATGGCCTAATGATGGCCTAATGATGGCCTAATGATGGCCTGGTGATGGCCTGGTGATGGCCTAATGATGGCCTAATGATGGCCTAATGATGGCCTAACGATGGCCTAATGATGGCCTAATGATGGCCTAATGATGGCCTAATGATGGCCTAATGATGGCCCTAATGATGGCCTGGTGATGGCCTAACGATGGCCTAATGATGGCCTAATGATGGCCTGGTGATGGCCTAATGATGGCCTAATGATGGCCCTAATGATGGCCTAATGATGGCCTAATGATGGCCTAATGATGGCCTAATGATGGCCTAATGGTGGCCTAATGATGGCCTAATGATGGCCTAATGATGGCCTAATGGTGGCCTAATGATGGCCTGGTGATGGCCTGGTGATGGCCTAATGATGGCCTAATGATGGCCTAATGATGTTTTGATTATATCCTAATGATGAGACAATAATAGCCTTAAATTGATATTGTCTCACAAAAATAATATAATCAGAAGGTGCGGCCTTATGGCCAGAAACTGCGATGTATGTGCTACTCTCTATCTCTCTTGATCACTCTCACTCTCTTATATGCACACGTACACGTACGCATACGCAAATAATTATGTGTAGGCACACAAACGCACACGAACAATCGCTCACACACATAAGTGCACTTACTACCGCTCCAACAAACACACATGCCCCCTAGTTAGCTAGTCAGATATCTGTATACCTAGTGAAGTGACTGACATTTATTCAGGATTACAGTTGAGTCTCTTCAGATATTTTACCTGTAGATACTGATCATCTATAAAAAAAGAATTAAAAAAAAAAAAGCCTATAGAAAGAGTTGAATAAAGCAAAGGGACGTAATCCTTTTTTTGTCGAACGATTCTTTATATAAGAGTAGCGTCCCCTATTTTTGTTTTTTAAACATTTATATTGAGCTTCTTGAGTATAGAGCTAAAACAAATATTTTTTATCATAAAATTTAAATACATGTATTTAAACTGTTCACGTAATATAACAAGATTTAACACACGAAATCAAGCGACTTTTCTAACCTAAACTAATTATATTTATCGTCCATTTTAATAGGAGGCACTTGATAGTTTTTATATGTTTGTTAAGTCATGAGCTACAACTCAGATAGATTTAGATGTAGACTTGGCTTGCCCATAATGACGTAGATCTGGGCAACTTTTACAAAAGATGTATTCACTCACTCGAGTTTTAGTTTCTCCGCACAGTTCCAGTGCCTGTATTAAAAGATGACTAGAACAAGTAAGTGTTTCAAAACACAAACTTAAGTAAATATTATTTAGAGAGCGCCACTTGCCGTGGGTCGATATATTCTACCTGACACTGTAGGGGTGAGAAGAAGTGTTACCTTTGGAGAGGACATGGCGTGTATTACCTTTTACGTGAGAATGGGGTAATACTGTTATACTTGAGAAGGGGGTATTACAGTCAGAGGTGGGAAGGAGGGGGTATAACAATTACATGAATACGATCGGAACATGTTTACACAATACTTGAACAGAAACCGATTCACATGATTTTATTATATGTTGTCTAATGTCTTGTATGTTGTTGACTGTTGTCCTGTATGTTGTATGTTGTCCTCTTTGTTGACTTGTGTGTATTCTTGTATGTTGTTCTGTATGCTGCACTGTCTTCTAGACTGTATGTATGCCTCAGCGTAAAATTATCATTGTGTACAACAGACAAATATTCTGTCAATGGTTTTTTTTTCTTTCTTTTTCTTTGTTTTTTTTTTTAATTTTATTTTTACCCAGTATTGAATTAAATAGTTTGAACACCGTGATGATAAAAATAATTCTCATGACTTTAAAGAAAGAAAAAAAAAGTAATGTATAAGTAGTAAGTGTCAGCAACCTTCTTTGAGGTTTATTGGTGGACAATTACCTCCCTTTGTAATGTTTTTTAAAGTAACTGTTGCCTTCCTCCCTTTGAAACGTGGGTAATTATTACCTCCCTTCTTTAGGTTCTTATTACCTCCCTTCTCTAAGTTATTTGACCCAGTCCCCTCCCCTTCTGTGTTTAAATTTATGTCCATCGTAATTTGGCAAACTATGAAGTAATTATAAAACAAAAGTTAATTGGTCCTATTCTTAACGCAACGGTCCAATCTTTAATAAACCATACCAATTAATCCAATTGAACTCCCCTCTCCATATGTTCCCCCACCTAACCACTGTAGGTCGCAACACAAAAACTGTTCGCTCGCCAAATACAACGAGGCCAAAACCCGCGTTTAGTAGAATAATACCAAGCACTCTACATAAAAAAAAAATCATGTATTCATTTTTAGCGGTGTATGCACGTATGGTTCAACATAACGCGAAGAATAAGCAATTAAACATTTGTTTTTCGAACAATTAAAGCCCATTTTTTCTGCTGTTTGGTGTAAGATAATTATGTATTACATAGAGTTGTTGAATGGCTGGTCTAACAGAGCTGTCATTACCTAGTTATGTCCCATCTTTAGCCCAAACCAACGCATTGCTAAAACAATTTATTACGTGTTGGGGAACAAAATATATTTATATCGTTAGGAATAACGCCATTCAAAATATATACACTGTAATTTAATACACCAAATTAGTTACACTGAATTAATCGCATATTTTATTATTGTTCATAACTACAAAATAAGGCAATAAGAAATTCATTTTAGACAAACATTTTCTTCATTGCTTCCCTTTAATTATTTTTTTTTAAAGATTTTCTATGCTTGATACTTGGCAAGTTGACATACTTAATGTGACCTACTTTCTAAGTGTGACAAGGTTGATGTTTTTGTAACACACACAAGTTTGTTCATATCACAAAAATCGTGATATACTTAATGTGGCATACATAATGTGAAATGCTTCATTGTGACATTCTATCTGTGAAATTCTTAGTGTGGTTTACCTAATGTCACATAACTAGCGTGACATACTTAGTGTTACATACTTAGTGTGACATACCTAGTGTGACATACTTAGTGTGGCATACTTAGTGTGACATACTTAGTGTTACAAACTTAGTGTGACATACTTAGTGTGACCTACTTAGTGTTACATACTTAGAGTGACATACCTAGTGTGACATACTTAGTGTGGCATACCTAGTGTGACATACTTAGTGTGGCATACTTAGTGTGACATACTTAGTGTGACATACTTAGTGTTACATACTTAGTGTGACATACTTAGTGTGACATACCTAGTGTGACATACTTAGTGTGACCTACTTAGTGTATTTTACCTAGTGTGACATACTTAGTGTGACTTACTTAATGTGACATACTTTGTTTGACATACTTAGTGTGACATACTTAGTGTGACATACTTAGTGCGACATACTTAGTGTGACATACTTAGTGTTACATACTTAGTGTGACATACTTAGTGTGACATACCTAGTGTGACATACTTAGTGTGACCTACTTAGTGTATTTTACCTAGTGTGACATACTTAGTGTGACTTACTTAATGTGACATACTTTGTTTGACATACTTAGTGGTACATTATGTGGATAACTTCTCTTTGTGACAAATTTAATTTGACATGCTTCATTGCTGCATATTTTATGTGACATAACGAATGTGACATGTGGCTTTTTTCATGTGACGTGTTAGACTGTCAAATACTTAATGTGACACACTAAATGTGACATGTTTTATTGTTTCCCATATAATATGACATGTTAGGCTGTGTGACACATTTACTAAATGTGACACATCTACCAAGTTTCAAATACACACTACGCCATACAAACTTAATGAGCAACAGCCGACTTGAACATTTAAATGTTTCACAACTTTGTGTATTACATACGGGGCTGTTATGTTTCATAACGAAAAATCGCTAGTAGAACCAAGGTTAGAGTTGGCACTACTTGAAACTATGGCTAGATTTGCCACTACCTAACACCCAAGGGTACAGCTGTCACTACATAAAACCATGGCTAGAGTTGCCAATACCTAAACATGGCTAGAGTTGCCACTAACAAAACCCATGGCTAAAGTTGCCACTACCTAAACTAATGCCTAGAGTTGCCACTAACAAAACCCATGGTTAGAGTTGCCAATGGTGACCATGATTGGTTTTGCAATGAGCTGCCACAGTGTAAAGAAATTAGAACTAACTTACAATAAGTAGGCCTACACAATTTATTTTTCTAGAGTGGATGTGTAAGTTTGTCTAACTGGCGTTTCTAACTATACTTGCATCAAGTATGAATACGATAATCACAACAATGTAAGGACAGTTGTACACAGGGGTGTGAAAGCAGGGAAATATATGTAACTGTGTGTAATCATGGGAAGGTATGCTGGTCGATGTAAGTAGGGGATGCAATCAAGTCAACGCATCATTCTTTGCGTGTCATTCATTAAGCGCCAGGGGAGTTAATTATATAGCGGGACCACTTCAACAGACGTACCCCACGCCCACTCAACTCAAGCGTGACTAAAGTAACGTAAAAAACTTGGAATCTTTTGGTACACTTTATTTATCTCACACCATTCTACACATCTAAAGAATTTTTTTAACAAACCTGTAATTTAGTTTTTAAAAATTCTTTTAATAATACAAGTATCAAATAGTTATAGTACACACATTTTTTTTAGTTCAGAGCAGTTCTCAAAATGTTGTCGTTTATCATACAATTATTATCATAAAAAAATACAATAATTATCATAATAATATGGTGCGATATTTCAAGTTAAAAATGTATTGGTAAATATTACTTAACATTGAATACATTATTAGTAGATGTCACTATCAATAACATTCTCTGAATTAGCGCTTATTTAATGAACTGTCTATGATCCATTTAAAAAAAAAAAAAAAACTTTTTTTTTGAATTAAAAATAAATCTTATTTTTACATTTTTGTCAATTATTTTTACATAAAATCCAAAGCAGCATTATCAATTACCTTTATACTACGTCTTTTTTTAATACGGCCAACTTCTGGCGAAAACAGAATCAAATAGTCAGCGCAATTTATTTAAACAGAAACTAGAGACAGTTTCAACAAGAAATGTTTCTCTGTAAGCCTTTACTATTTTTCCCCCGTTTCTTAACCTGAAGTAAAAACATCTCTTGTAAGCGAGATTCTAATGCTTGACTCCAATGTGGATCAAAAAATATAAAATTATATTTAAGTACTTTTAAACTGAATTTTTACTTTCTTCAAATTTTTAAGGACGGATTCGTATTTCGTAAACGATTTGCTATGTACAACATTTAAAAAAGAAAAGAAGCTCAAATCTATTTTTTTTAAATTAAGCTTTAAGTAGATAGTAATAAAGATGTAGGCCATTGTGTTCGAGTTATTTACAGCTAGACGATTTTCAAAGTGATAAAAAAATGTAAACTCAGCTTCCGTTAGTTGGCTAAATCAGAAGGTACAGATTGGCTAATCGGACGCCACTGAAACCAATCCAGCTCCCGTTAAACGAAACGGCTAACCAGAGATAGAGGTAGGGTAAAGACAACAGCTAGACTGACGCTGGTGCTTCTGACTCCCTGACTACACAGACGCTGCTTGACTCCGGGCAGATAATCCCACCAAAAATGGACGGCGTCTTCCGCAAAGTGGGTCGTCTGCTCGGGGGTCGTCTTCAGCTCCAGAATGTTCTTGTTGGTGCTTGTGTACTGATCCCATTGGGGGAGGTTAAGGCTGTTGGTTGAAGGATTCGGGCTCCTGGTCGGTGGAATGGAAAGAATGGAATAGAATGGAATAGAATGGAATAGAATGGAATAGAAAGGAATAGAAAGGAATAGAAAGGAATAGAAAGGAATAGAAAGGAATAGAATGGAATAGAATGGAATAGAATGGAATAGAATGGAATAGAAAGGAATAGAAAGGAATAGAATGGAATAGAATGGAATAGAATGGAATAGAATGGAATAGAATGGAATAGAATGGAATAGAATGGAATAGAAAGGAATAGAAAGGAATAGAATGGAATAGAATGGAATAGAATGGAATAGAATGGAATAGAATGGAATAGGATAGGATAGGATAGGATCGGATCGGATAGGATAGGATAGGATAGGATAGGATCGGATAGGATAGGATAGGATAGGATAGGATGGGATAGAAGGGGATAGAAGGGGATAGAAGGTGATAGAAGGTGATAGAATGGACTAGAATGGAATAGAATGGAATAGAATGGAATAGAATGGAATAGAATGGAATAGAATGGAATAGAATGGAATAGAATGGAATAGAATGGAATAGAAAGGAATAGAATGGAATAGAATGGAATAGAATGGAATAGAATGGAATAGAATAGAATAGAAAGCAACAGAACAGAACAGAACGGAACAGAACGGAACAGAACGGAACAGAACAGAACGGAACGGAACAGAACGGAACAGAACGGAACAGAACGGAACAGAACGGAACAGAACGGAACAGAACGGAACAGAACGAAACAGAACGGAACAGAACGGAACAGAACAGAACAGAACAGAACAGAACAGAACAGAACAGAACAGAACAGAACAGAACAGAACAGAACAGAACAGAACAGAAGAACAAACCCTGTTTTGATGAAGCTTGTCCAATACGTCATTAAAGCTTTAGAGAGCTGAACATCTTCTGGCTCCGACTGGTTGATGCCCCCAAACACATATGGTATGTCGGCGTCGTGGTGAGTTCCCTCGAACCAGCTGAACACATACGTCTGGTACAGCAGACTTGTTTTTGGTGTCTTGAACCTGTAGACATACCTGTGGCCGCCCGGGCTCAACGTGAGCGCCTCTTGGGTCGCGATGTGCGTGTTTAAAGTTGAGATCATCGGCAGCACAAAGCACATGTCGGTGATAATCGTAATCGCTTCTCTGCTTCTTTTAACGTCGTCGTTTATATTAGCCCAGTCCAGGTATCGATCCACGGCAGCTTCGATTACATACTTATATGTGTCGATATCTTCGTCGTATCGAGAAGCCAGGAGTTGGAAGATCATGGTTTTGATGTAATCGAGTGTGATGTAGGTACTGTTGGTTGGGGCTTGAGTGAGGATTCGCCAGATTTGGTACATGACCTCCCCATCTTCTGATACGATACCAGTGAGGATGTCTTTCTTGGCGAACCTGGAGAGGACGGCCATCTTGCTGGGGTCGTAACTTCCGCTTAAAACAGAGCTCGGGTGTAGGGGGATGAGGGGGGCTTCAAGCGTTGGGAGAAACGGTAGCCCAAACGACATCTCGCTGGGTGGGAGCAAGCCGACAAAGTCGGTCTGGTTGAGATTCAGGAGACACGTCTTCAGTTCTTGTTTGCTGGGTTGTGGGCTACATCCCAGTGCCTTCGCCGCGGTCAAGGTCGACTTGTAGCCAACAGTGCTGGTCACTTTGTTAAACGAAGCGTCTCCGCTCATTGCCAGGACTCTGTGAAACAGCTGCTCGTCTTCCTGAAACAGACTGTGCACCAATATGTTCATACTTCCTGCTGAGTTCCCACCCACCGTGATTTTACTCACATCCCCGCCAAATTTCTCAATATTGTCCTTGACCCACTTTAACGCGAAAACTTGATCCCAGAGACCAGCGTTGCCGGGTATGACGTCATCTTCTGTGGTTGCGAACCCCAGAAGACCTAACCGGTAGTTGAAGGTCACGACGATGACCTCGCCCAACCCAGCCAAGACCGAGCCGTCATAGCAGTTGCCGTTTCCCTCTAGCCACGCCCCTCCGTACACATACACAAACACGGCGTGGCTGGCACCGTCAGGCAAACTCTTGGCACTCGACATGGCATCAGCCAAAACTTTATGCGAGTCTATCGCGGTGTCGTTGACGTCACTGGCAGTCCATCCGGGCAGTGGCACATACACATTCAAATACAAACAATCCTCGTCGATAGGTTGGTGGATTAAGCAAGCATCCAATGGTTTGGGTGGCTGCATGCACACACTTTTAAACTCCCTCGCGTCGTACTGCTCACCTACAACAGGCGCTTGAGGTTTGGCGAACCGGAGATTTCCGGTTGGAGGTTTGGCGAAAGGGATGCCACGAAACTTAGCCAGGGTGTACTCGGTGTTGTCGAACTCCATTGTGTAGCCGACGCCGACGTATTTGGTGCCGGCGTCAGTGGTTTTAATAAGGGCGTCAGGCTGGACTTGGTGTTGTAGGGAGAACACGAGAACCAGCGTGAGCACTAGACGAGACTTCATGGCTTGTGTAGGGAGTGGGGCGTTTTGATCTCACTGGTATAGACGTGGTACGGTCGTGTTAGAGTTGTGGTACAAGGGCGGTACAGTGGTGGTACAAGGGCGGTACAGTGGTGGTACAGTGGTGGTACAGTGGCGGTACAGTGACGGTACAGTGGTGGTAGACAGCAGCAAGTCAAGCACTATCATCTAAGGATGCAAGTTGGTTGGTTGGTCGGTTTATTGAAAAAAAAATGCAAGTGCCAATAAGAAACACAAAATATACTTGAATAACCTGCGGTAATTAGTTTAAACATTTATAGAAACAAATTAAAATGTTATTATTTTACTGACAACAACTTTTTAACCCTGACCCTAATATTTTGCTCATATTATATATATTTAAAAGAGAATATTTTTTTTCGAAACATCGTTTTAATTAATTTCAATCAATATTTAATCCTATAATAAAAAGTACTTTCTCATTATTGTTGCAATCAGATTAATCCGGTTAAATTTCCACTGATTTCCTTTAGTTAAAGAGATTTTTTCCAATATGTTTTTATTCTTTAGTGACTTACATTATATTTATAAAACTAAAAGATCGAATTACCTGTACTGACTGACCAAGTCAAATTTCTCCAACCACTTCAGTCAAAAAGTCAATTTACATTCCTCTATGACGTCCTTTCTTATGAAACTCCAACACAGCGAGATGTGGATGTTGTTCAATGTAAGACGCTCCACGACAAAACTCTTAACTTTGTGTTTATGTAAGGGCAGTCAACTACAACACCGACACCGAGTTATGCCGTCAGTCTGAAGCTCTACCGCTCAGACACGGCGATACACTTAGTCCTAATTGGTCTTAGGGTTTTAAATAGGGTTCATAAACTTCATTTGTATTGGTTGATTGGCATACACGTGATTTTGTCCTAATTGGTGTTTGACATTTTGATTGTTGTATTGTCGTATTACATTAGACAAAAGGCGTGATTTATATTGCGGCAATTGTTGACAGTGGTCCTTGAGTTGTCAGCAATCACAAGCATGTCTTATCTGCGATTACTGACAGTAGTCCTTGGGTTGTCATTGTCAGCAATCATCTAAGTGTCTTATTTTATTTTCCATCATGTTTGTATTACACTTTTTTACTTTCTCGTATATACGTAGTATAGAGAAAGTATTGTAATCGTGCAAAAAAAAAAATCGAGATTTTTACAAATCTCGACGTTTTACACCTCACTGATACGGAAAAACATAATTTTGCAATCTTGTCCGTATGTCTGTGTGTGTGTGTGTCTGTGTGTCTGTGTGTCCGTGTGTAAACACGATAACTTGAGTACCGTTACTGCTAGGTTGATGAAATTTCATATATAAGTATTTTATCAAAATCGTAGATCCGTATCAACTTTTGAGCGATTTCCGATAACCGGAAGTGGTACTTTTTCTACTTTGAATTTTTCAAAAGCCTATAACTTGAGTACTATTTCAGATAGATGAATGAAATTTCACATGTAAGTAAGAGATCTAATTCTCTACCTTCTGTTAAATTTTGAGTAATTTCCGTTGACCGGAAGTAGTAATTTACGCTACTTCCGATTTCTCAAAAAACTAATGTAAATTTTAAAAGTACTAATAATATTGCGCACTATTATGCGCTTTTTTATTTCGCGTTCACTTGGTGTGCAATTAATTTGTCTACGAGATTTTATTCTATTTTTAAAACTTTAAGTATTTAAAATGGATTAAAAATCATGTCTATAGCCCGAGTTCCCATCCCCTGTTATTTTATATAAAAATATTCGAGAAAGTTTAGGGGAGATCACTCCCGGTTTATTACTTTATTGTATACAAAATATAGTGCAAGTATAGTAATCGTGTAAAAAATCAAAATTCAGATTGTAACAAATCTCGACGTTTTACACCTCCCTGAGTCGTAAAAACATAATTATTCAATTTAGTTCATATGTCTGTGAGTGTCTGCGTATGTATGTCTATGAATATGATAACTTAAGTACCGTTACAGCTAAGTTAATGAAATTTCATAAACAAGTATTATATCAAATTTGTAGTTTTGTATCAACTTTTCAGTGATTTCCGATAACCGAAAGTGGAGCTTATTCTACTTTTGGCTTTTCAAAAGCCTATAACTTGAGTACTATTTCAGATAGATAAACGAAATTTCAAGAATAAGTAAAGGATTTAATTTACTGCTTTCGGTCAAATTTGGAGTATTTTCCGTTGACCGGAAGTAGTACTTTACGCTATTTCCGATTTCTCACAAAAAAAACATATGAATTTATAAAGTACTAATATTCGGCACTACTATACACCTATTGTTTGCTATTCATTTGGTGCGCAGTTCTATTTTCTACGAGATTCTATTTTATTTTAAAAGTTTAAGTAATTAAAAATGGATTGAAAATCTTGTCCATAACCCGAGTTGCCACCCCCCCCCCCTTCGAGAGAGTTTGGAGGAGATAACTCCCGCTTTATTTCGTATTTGCCTAGGCTATACATAGTCCGTTCTGTTTACTATAACAAGTAGAACTACGCCCTTCTACCATTATTCTATCAGTCCACTCGTTCAATACCGTTACGTGTTCTTACCCTCCAATTGTTTGTCTCCCTTGAATGCTGATTTTGTTTTTTATTTCAATGGAAAAAAAAATATTAACACTGTGTAAGGAAACAGGGCCCTAAATATTAGTTGAACGCATAATTTAGATCTTGAAACATCAAGTCTTAAATATCAGAGTTAGACGGGTTTTACCATACAAGCCGAACTTGTTTTGTAAGTTGTATAACAAAGCCACATTATATTTCATCATCTAGCTGGAAATGTTGAAACCTGCTACACAAAAGGCCTTTCGTAAGTTGGCGCCCTTTCTCGTTAAGATCAGGTTGAAGATAAAATTTGTGTTGCGTTTTAAATAACAAAATAATATTTAAAATGTTTCATGTGTAGAGCTGAGCTACACACACACACACACACACACATATATATATATATATATATATATATATATATATATATATATATATATATATATATATACACATATATATATATATATATATATATATATATATATATATATGTGTGTGTGTGTGTGTATGTATAGGCCTATAAATCAATATATTAGGCCTACGAGACAAAGGCACTGAAAAACTTCTCTTAACCTTCAAGTTTTGAAGTTTCACACTTGTCTTATTCCACACAACCACTAAAAAATAAAGTTCAAGAACTCAAAGCGTTATTGACAGGATTTCACTATCACACCTGACGTCTATTTAATTACACACAACTAAACGAACCGTGAAAGCTATGGCTAGTTTGAATTTACAGAGCTTGGCACTGTCGTGGTGTACTGAATTATGATTCGAGCTGTCAAGGCATCCCCGCTAGCTCGTATAATAACACGACTCGTATAACATGACTCGTATTACATGACAATGTTATCTCTCGTTGTTTAGTCAATGCGGGGCAATGCTAAAATTATAAAAACTAATGGACAGGGAAGGAAAAGAGCATACTATTTTTAGCTTTTATTTATAAGGTAGAAAAAACTACTTCGACATTAGTATAATCTAAATTTTAAAAAAATTAATCCACGCAAGTTTGTGCTTAAAGTTTGAATTACCTTACAAGACAGCTCGACCAGAAGGTGTGGGTGAGTACAGAGGATGTGTCAACATACGTGAGTGCTATGCTGGACCCCACACCCCCCTCACCCCACAGTAATCTAAGCAGTTTTACACCGGGAACGAAAACACTTTTGTCGTATCAAATAGCAAACTGCTAGACACATTATCCCAAAACAAATATACAAGCACACACACACACACATACACACACATATATATATATAGTTTTAAATACGCAGATAACATTTCTCAGTTGCAAAAAAAAAATCACTGTCCCGACATAAAGATCTAAGTTTTCCCGACAACTAGCTGACAGCAAAAAAAAAATCAATTTCCCGACATAAAGATCTAAGTTTTCCCGACAACTAGCAGACAGCAAAAAAAAAAAAAAAAATCAATGTCCCGACATAAAGATCTAAGTTTTCCCGACAACTAGCAGACAGCAAAAAAAAAAATCAATGTCCCGACATAAAGATCTAAGTTTTTCCGACAACTAGCAGACAGCAAAAGTAAAACATCCACGGGGTACATGATACACTAGACAGTTTCACATCAGTAAACAAAACACATTGATTAGATCACACATCAACCATCCCCTGTCTCCCTTCCCTAACACAGAAACATCCACCGGGTACATGATACACTAGACAGTTCCACATCAGTAAACAAAACACATTGATTAGATCACAAATCAACCATCCCCTGTCTCCCTTCCCTAACACAGAAACATCCACCGGGTACATGATACACTAGACAGTTTCACATCAGTAAACAAAACACATTGATTAGATCACACATCAACCATCCCCTGTCTCCCTTCCCTAACACAGAAACATCCACCGGGCTTGAGATACACCACACAATCTCACACAAGTAGCCAGACCACACTAATGGCAGCTAGAACCAACGTCTGGAAGCTTCTCCTGCCGCCTGCACGGTTCCGGCTGCAGTCTTTGACGGTTTCAGCACCGACCTTGAACCTACTGTCCAGTTGACTTTTTAAATTAGGGATCAGTTCATTCCAAAAATGGCGGCTGTCCTCCCCAAGTCCCATCTTCAGCTCTGCAGTTGATGAGATGTCCATGTAGCAAGGGTTGTTGACACTGTACTCGTCCCATTTCGTCAGACTGTTCACACTTCCATTGTTTGGGTTGCTAGAGAAGATTAATGGTTTGATGTTCACTACAAACTACTAATTATTATTAATTTATTATGTATTTATTACTTTTGAAAAAGAGATACAATTAAAACGTTACTGTAGGTTTGATAGTGTCGATAAATACAATGAAATTAGAATAAAATTCAAGAATAAATAAATGTGCTACATAAAAATATTTAATTTTTAAAATGGTTTTCGGTAATTTCTTTTTATAAAGGGCGTCCTTGCCATGTCTAATTTTCGTATAGTTTAATAGAGAGTTTCTTTCAGACATCCGTCGGGCCAAGTCTAATTTTCGTATAGTTTAATAGAGAGTTTCTTTCAGACATCCGTCGGGCCAAGTCTAATTTTCGTATAGTTTAATAGAGAGTTTCTTTCAGACATCCTTCGGGCCAAGTCTAATTTTCGTATAGTTTAATAGAGAGTTTCTTTCAGACATCCTTCGGGCCAAGTCTAATTTTCGTATAGTTTAATAGAGAGTTTCTTTCAGACATCCTTCGGGCCAAGTCTAATTTTCGTATAGTTTAATAGAGAGTTTCTTTCAGACATCCTTCGGGCCAAGTCTAATTTTCGTATAGTTTAATAGAGAGTTTCTTTCAGACATCCTTCGGGCCAAGTCTAATTTTCGTATAGTTTAATAGAGAGTTTCTTTCAGACATCCTTCGGGCCAAGTCTAATTTTCGTATAGTTTAATAGAGCGTTTCTTTCAGACATCCTTCGGGCCAAGTTCACCACCACACCCAGACCAAAAAAAAAATTAACATTTTTAATAAAAATACATATTTTAACTAGTGTCCTCCCCAGCCAGTAACTCAATGTTCCCCACCCCCACCCCCCTCACCCCCACCCCACCCCACCCACCCCTAGGAAAAAGGTCTGAACGAGACTCAGATTTAGTAAAAAGTGAGAGTTTGCGGGTGTTGTAGAATTGTTTTACTAAGTTCTAGAAAACTCTTTTAATTATTCTAATTATTCTAATGTTTTAAATTCAACGACTGCTCAAACTAAAAACAAATTACATTTAATCTCGCACAGACTTACCCCGTTTTGATGAAATTGGTCCAGTAGGTCATGATGACCTTCGAGATGGCGACATCCACCTGGTCTGTGACGTCACCGAAGACGTAGACGATATCGCTGTCGTGCTCCGAACCTTCGAACCACTTGTAGATGTACTGCTGGTAGAGGGCGCTGGTCCTCGGCCACTTGAGTCTGTACAGGTATCTTTTCCCACGTGACGTCACGTTACTCGCGCGCTGCTCGTGAGCACGGATGGCATCGACGGTCGGGAGTTTAAAAAATAAATCCGTCAACAGCGCAACAACTTGGTTGCTTCGTTCAGCATCGTCCTTAACTGTTGCCCAGTCTAGGTATCGATCTATAGCAGTATCGATAATGTACTTGTAATCGTTGATGTTTTCGTTGTATTTTGATGCAAAGAAATCGAAAATCATTTGAGTGAGTATTTCCATAGAGATGAACGGGTTCGCGGTTTTGTTGATGTGGTTGACGAAGCTCCAGATTTGGTAGCTCGATTCCCCGTCTTCCGAGACGATTCCGATGAGTAAATCTTTCTGTCCGAATTTGTTTAAGGCCTGTTGTTTTGTTTGGTCCATGCCGACATCCCCAGTGATAAGCTCACAGGGGTGTGTGGGGATGAGAGGCGCCTCAACGACAGTCGCAATCGGAAGTCCAAACGGAACTTGAATTTCCGGAATGGCGTACGCAAGGCTTTGAGCTGTTTGGTTCATCAGGCAGGATTTGATGTCTTGCTTGGAGCCCCGGGTGTCGCAGCCTAACTTCTGGGCCCCGGAGAGGGTGGTGCCGTACCCCGTCGTGCTGATGTACTTCATGGGACAGACGGACCCGCTCATGGGGATCATCCTCTGAAACAGCTGCCCGTAATCCGGCAGTAGCCCAAACGTTAAAGAACTTATGCTGCCCGCGGATGTTCCGCCTACGGTCACACAACCGGAGTCACCGCCGAATATCCCGATATTATCTTTAACCCATTGTAAAGCCAGGATTTGATCCCATAGACCGGCATTTCCGGGTATGACGTCATCCTCCGTGGCCGCAAACCCCAAAAGACCAACTCTGTAGTTAAACGTCACGACGATGACGTCACCGAGACCGGCTAAGACTGAGCCGTCGTAACAGTTGCCGTTGCCCTCAATCCAAGCCCCGCCGAAGATGTACACAAACACGGCTTTTTTCTCAGCCGGCAGGAGCAAGGCGGAGCCGGTTAAACCGGTTGTCAGAGAACCGTTAATAGCCGTGATATCGCCGGCCACATCAGTGGGCGCTAGTTTAGACAGCGGGACGTACACATTGACGTACAGACAATCCTCGCTCATCGTCTGCCTGCTCACACACGGGCTCGACGGCTTGCTCATCTGCACGCAGATGCTCTTAAACCTCCGCGCGTCGTACATCGTGTCCGTCACTACTGCCGGCTCCGGCTTCTGGAACCGGCGCTCTCCGATTGGCGGCTTGGCGAATGGAATCCCAAGAAACCTGGCAATGACGTAATCAGTTTGGTCGAAACGTACCGTGTCGGCCTGGCCGATGTAGGTAGTTGGGCCGGTGACGTTAGTTTTGACCAGTTTGACGGCCTGACTAATGTTTGCTAATACAAGACAGAGCCCGAAAATGTGCAGTCTATAGCCCCCCATCTTGCTTGTAAAATCTCAACGTTATCTCCTGTGCCTGGTTTACTGTATTCTAAATTAAATTCCGATTCTGCTTTGACGTGACGATATGAAGGCTATTCATCAAAGCTGAAGGAGCAGTTTTTTGCAGAAATAGAATACAAGTTAACTTATGCACAATTATGGCTTTAATTAGAAAATGTGTTTTAAATAATTTATTAAAGAAATTATTTTTTTTTTCTAAATTATTATGTATTTATTGGATTGCTTTATACAAACAGAGAATGTCAGTAAATAATTGCCTTTCAATACTTTTTTTACTTTCTCGTATATACGAAGTATAGAGAAAGTCTTGTAATCGTGCAAAAAAAAAAAAATCGAGATTTTTACAAATCTCGACGTTTCACACCTCACTGATACGGAAAAACATAATTTTGCAATCTTGTCCGTATGTCTGTGTGTCTGTCTGTGTGTCTGTGTGTCTGTGTGTCTGTCTGTCCGTGTGTAAACACGATAACTTGAGAACCGTTACAGCTAGGTTGATGAAATTTCATATATAAGTATTTTATCAAAATCGTAGATCCGTATCAACTTTTGAGCGATTTCCGATAACCGGAAGTGGTACTTTTCCTACTTTGAATTTTTCAAAAGCCTATAACTTGAGTACTATTTCAGATATATAAATGAAATTTCATATGTAAGTAAAAGATCTAATTCTATACCTTCTATCAAATTTTGAGTCATTTCCGTTGACTGGAAGTAGTACTTTACGCTACTTCCGATTTCTCAAAAAACTAATGTAAATTTTAAAAGTAATAATAATATTGCGCACCATTATGCGCTTTTTTATTTGGCGTTCACTTGGTGTGCAATTAATTTGTCTACGAGATTTTATTCTATTTTTAAAACTTTAAGTATATAAAATGGATTAAAAATCATGTCTATAGCCCGAGTTCCCATCCCCTGTTATTTTATATAAGAATATTCGAGAAAGTTTAGGGGAGATCACTCCCGGTTTATTACTATTAAAGAAATTAAAGGCGAACTAGCCTGAAATTGGAAAAAGACATGACGTACTAAGTTCTACAATTATATTTCTTACCTTTAAACATTAAGCAAAATTAATTTCAACACGGTGAATGCACAAATTATAACCCCTTGAAACTATTGTATAAATATAGTGTAATCAGCTGTCAGGTTTTACCTGCAATATATTGGGTACTACGTCACACCTGCAGCAAGACATGGCTTATATAGGTGGATATCATCAGGGGCGGAGTCTGCAACCTTTGTTGAGGGGAGGTATCAAACTCCCAGAGTTATGTCCCTGTGATGTTGCCATATTATTATAAATGGTAGCAAATGTTCACATTATGTTAACCATTATAAGTATCTTTTAAATATGGTTGATATAATGTATAGACAACGGTAGCTATTTTTATTCATTAAGTATGGTAGTCATTGATTATGATAACCTATTGGTAAGGTAACCATATAATTGTCTTTAAGTTTGAAAGCTCTTATGTACGTGACCGCCCAACGAATGACGCTACACTAATATCCCGAATTCTAGAACCCTCCCAAGATTATCAGAAAGCCACGCTCCTACAGATACTGAAACACTAGTAGCTTCCCCTCCCCATCTTTCCGCTTGACTGCGTGTTCAACAGACCGGAGCTTTGAACAAGAGTTTGTTTGTTCCATGCCGGGTACACTCCAGCCTGATGTATAATCTCATGTACGTCAGATGACATGTGTCATTGCTGTGTTCTGTCATCTACATCAGATGACATGTGTCATTGCTGTATCTGTCATGTACGTCAGATGATATGTGTCATTGCTGTATCTGCCATGTATTTCTGATGACATGTGTCATTGCTTTATTCTGTCATGTACATCAGATGACATGTGTCATTGCTGTATTCTGTCATGTACGTCAGATGACATGTGTCATATCTAGACATCTGACGGTGTTTTTGTTGCATAATGTCATGTGATCACGGCATCATACTCTTTAGGTTAGGTTACCATTCAAACAGCCTTAGCTTAGCGCGTAAGTTAGACTACGGCAGCATAGGAACAACATTCATATTCACACAGCTCGTGTTTTGATTCCTGTCTTTGTGAATACATGCGTTTCTTCTTTTTGTTACGTATTATTAATTTTTTATTATTTAAATATGTAGTTAAACGACTTAAAATACGTAATTCACAACAAAAAAGTTGGTTGTATGAACTAAACGGAAATGCCACGTTGTGTAGGCCCTACGCACAAGATACGCAAACAATATTATACAACATTTTTATTACTGTATTGTAAATTGTATATTTTTTATGAATCCCCCCTCATTCCCTCCCACAAATCCCGATACAAATTGTGGAAAGCCACATCATGTTGCTGAAGTTACTTGTTGCATCTTGATTTGAGGAAGTCGCAACCCATTGTGTGCTCAATAAGGTGTGTAAGCAACTGGTACCCATCTGTTCTTCCAACCATTGTAAATATTTGACAAAATGGCGGACTAAGTCAAGCGTTGAACTATTCTGCATCACAGTACATCACATAACACACCACGATAAAACACCACCACCTCTCCCCTGTTTGTATAACAAAATAAAAACACGATACAACTTAGTGCTAGATATTTGCAACTCTGTGTCTAATAGGTGTAAGGAAAAATTAACGTCATTAAACATCAGGTAAAATTAAAGATCGATTTTTGCCATGGCGGTCAGTATGAAAAAAAAATTCAGTCTCATCACTTTCGAAGTTAACAGTTGAAGCTTTTTATTCATTGTATTAAATTCGTTAAGTCTATTGAATGGATATTTTTAAATGGCTCAAAGTTTTAAAACCTTAAGTCAACTAAGGGCTTTTGCATTCTATTTTCAAGGACGCTGTTGATGTTTGGTGTCTGGGTATACAAAGAAAAGAGAGGAATGCAGAAAATTCCTGGAATATATCTAAAAGATTGTAAGTTCAAGCGATGAAGTAGTTTGCTTTTTGAACGAACATGTATATGGTGAGATTTGATACTATACGTTGGAGTTGAGTCCCTTAATAGTTATGGAAATAAAAAATGTGAAATAAAGAAGAAACATAAATATAAATAACGTAGTAACATTTTACTTTATGTTATGTATGAGGTAGAAATAAATGGCAACAAGTTCATGAGGTCTTAGTTGTGTTCATCTTCAGGCTGGCGATGAAGGTCATCATGGTTAGGGTGAAGGTCGTTAGACCGAGAGTGAAGGTCGTTGATTGGAGGGTGAAATTCGTTTTTCTCAGGGTGAAGGTTCGTGTCATACCAGTAAGAATCAAGATAGCGCATGGTATGTTTGATTAAAGGTTTTTCATCGCTTAAGTCCCCTGTAGTGTGAATTAGATTGTTATCGTCCGTGCTTTGTATGGAGTTATCAGCACCCTGCAATGTAGAGTTATCTATCTTGTGTCTTGCAGAGTTATCCTCTCTAGACTTGCAACACATATCTGTCACATTTCTGAAATTAAAGTCCCTGTAGGACAATGGCAACCTTGTCCTAGGCTGGCTGAGTGATGAATCCATCGACTGTGTAATGACAATGGCAGGATTGAAATCAGTCAAAGCCTCGTCGCTGATGCAGTCTTTAATTACAGGGGACGTAATTGTATTGTAGGGACTAGTAAGGGACGTAACTGGGTTGCAAGGACTGGCAAGGGACGTAACAATATTGCAGGGACTGGTGAGATGATAGTCGACATCTGAGGGAGTCTTGTGGGAGAGGTCTACACATCCCTCGTCTGCTGGGGGGTGGGGCTCACTGGGGACACAACATTCCCCGAGTGTTGTGTCATCCGACTCGGGTGGTTTAGATCCCACGACCCTGGGCGGTGATCTGGTCGCTGGTCTACTAGCACTGTGGGGAGATCTTGTGACGTCATTGGACAGTTCTGTTCGCATCTTTTTGGGATCTGGTGACAATGGAGTAAATCAATAAAGTAGGTCATATTAGGTTTTAGTTCAGTAAAGGGGACATTTTTAAAAGCGATCACTGTTTAATGACAACCTGAGTAAGACCACAAATTCAAAGTGTACTTATTGGACTAGTGATGTACACATTAGTTCACCAGTTTATAGCTAGGTGTACTTGATGTACACTTTAGTTGACCAGTCTATGTACACATCAGCTCACCAGTCTATATCTCGGTGTACTTATGTACACATTCGTTCACCAGTCTATAGCTAGGTGTAATGAAGTACACATTAGTACACCAGTCTATAGCTAGGTGTAATGATGTAGACATTAGTACACCAGTCTATAGCTAGGTGTAATGAAGTACACATTAGTACACCAGTCTATAGCTAGGTGTAATGATGTAGACATTAGCTCACCAGTCTATAACTAGGTGTACTTGATGTACACATGAGCTCACCAGTCTACAGCTCGGTGTACTTATGTACACATTCGTTCACCAGTCTATAGCTAGGTGTACTTGATGTACACATTAGTTCACTGGTCTATAGTTAGGTGTACATTAGTTCACCAGTCTATAGCTAGATATACTTGGTGTACACATTAGGTGTACTCACTTGTTTGTTTCCTATGTGAAGATCTCAGCTGGGCATCATTTGATGACCTGGAGAGTAAACAAGTGTCACGTGATCATCATGATACTAAATTTAGAAACATCCCGAATTAGAAGTAACCTGATTTATAATGGCTGGAGAAGAATCCATGAACATATTTTTAGAAAAATATGCTATTAATAGCTGGGCTGTTTACCTTTTGATGCTTTCTTTATTTGACGATGTGGATTCATACAGGAACTGAAACATTGGCGTTCTGTGGAGAGAGAATGTTTAGCATATCAATGCCAACTTTAAACAGACATTCAATGTGTAGGGCTGGGAGTTCATCCATGCAAAGATGAGGTAGGCTTAATATCGAAATTCTAAATGTTTTACAGTACAGCAAACGTTACTTGGAACTTATGAATGCCAGCAAACTAAATCTCTTAGAGTAAACTAATCACAATATTTGTATGTCCGAAACTAAATCTATTACAGTAAACTTGTTACAATTTTTTAATGTCAGAAATTATATATGTTACAGTAAAATAATCATAACTATCAAAATTCAGAATACAAAATCTATTATAGTAAACTTATTACAATTTCTGAATGTCAGAAATTAAGTATGTTACAGTAAACTCATCATAACTTTTAAAATTCAACATACAAAATCTGTTACAGTAACTGTCTGTTGTAACAATGGAATGTTACGAGACTTACCTGTCTATGCTAACTGTAATAAAAATGGCGTCTCTCAGCGGGTATTTCCAAACAGATTCACCTGTCCTAAGAGTGACCACTGGGCAGTACTGTCTCCTTAACTCAACTTTCAACTGAAATGTACAACAACTAAATAAAATTGCCTAGCTCGTCTTAATTATTTCGGACTCTAACAAAAAGTCAAATAATGCATGTCAAATTCCGTGTATTCTAATTGAACTAATTGCAAAAAGGTTTTTATTTATGATTTAATTTCAGAATTCAATTGCTCATTATAGCTGGTAAAGCTAGTACATACAAATATTTCTGGTAAGCAAAACAAGAGTATCTTTTTTTCAATTTACTTAGATATTAACTTGTTGAAATTTTAGTTCAAATAAATTCAAAAACAAAAAGGGGAAATAACTAAGTAAAAGCTATCTATGTAATACGTGTATTTATAGCCAAGATCCACTGGCCAATAGAAACAATACAAATTACTTATCACGTGACTGACCAGATTTTTGCCTTGTCTTGACGTGCTCAGCCGCAGCCTATCAAACGTGATCTCCGACCCCCACTCCTGCCCGCCCCTGGGGCTGTCGGGGTGCTGGTAGGGCGTCAGACGGGGGTCAGCTGGGGCCGCCTGACAGGGCGTCCACTCGTCGTCCAGATAGTCGTACAGCCACTGGGAGGCTGGGGTCAGCTCCAGGCTGACGTCATACGTTCTCGTGGCATCAAGTTTGGTTACAGACAGGGCGATGTATGGGAACATTGGTCTGTGGAACATATGGGGAACATGAGGGAACATGGAGGAACATGGAGGAAGGTATAGAAGCTTTGGTGTGTGGAACAGATGGGGAACATGAGGGAACATGGGGGAACATGGAGGAGCATGGAGGAAGGTATAGGAACTTTGGTCTGTGGAACAAATGGGGAACATGAGGGAACTTTATTCTGTAGAACACATAAGAGAACATGAGGGCACATGGAGCAAATTCGGTCTGTGGAATAGATTGGGGAACATGGAGGAACATAGAGGAACACTGAGGAAGGTATAGGGCCTTCGGTCTGTGGAATAGATTGGGGAACATGGAGGAATATAGAGGAGCATGGAGGAACTTTGGTCAGTTGAATGGATGGGGAACATAAAGGAACATGGAGGAATGTATAAGAAATTTAGGTCTGTGGAACAGATTGGGGAACATGAGGGGATATAGAGGAACAAGGAGGAACTTTGGTCTGTGTAGGAACCTAGAAAAAAAAAAGAAAAGCATGGAGGAAGAATGTGAAACATGGATAAACAAAGAAGAAACAGTGAGATACATTGAGGAACTTAGAGCGACACATTGCAGCAAGTAGAAAATGGAAGGATCATTACAATTTTGATCAACCATTTCAGTTTTTTTTTTCTATAAATGTTGAGTCAATTCAAATATCTCGTTTTAACATCCCATATAAAATATACATTGACCCTAAGAAAAAAAAATATGCTGCATAAAATAATGCTGTATTATACCTAAAATGTATAGCGTATATAAAAGGATTGTAAGATCGAAATCCATGAATGATAGAAAATCTCACCTCCCGTCAGTAGTAACCACAACTTCATGTGTAGTGGCCCAAATGTCGCCATTTTTTAACGTCACTTCCGGTCTTACAGGAGGCAGGTCGTGTCTGTTGTTGATTGGTTGATGGGACTGTGATGTAATCAAACATTCAAATTAATATTCAAAATTAAATACTATTACAATATGTATACGTGGTATTAAAATGTGAGCAATTTCAACTTGCGGTCAATCCCACGAGAGAGATTTTTAGTAAGAGGGATTTTTTTTTAATTTGTCAAGTGTTCTAAAAATAGAATATGACCTTTGAACTTACCCGCCATGGTTTATGCCTTAGGTCTGTTGGGAATTCTTGATGGTCTTCCGGTGACACAGATGGTGATCTAATGGTGGGAATAGGTGGTGACTGGTTGCTGGTAACAGAAGGTGACTGCTCACTAGATGCAGGTGGTGACTGGTCGTTGGATACAGGTGCCACCCACTGGTGACACAGCTGGTGACTGCTCTGGTGATACTTCGGATACTCGCCCGTCCAGGTTTTTGTTGTGGTGATGTCCGATGCTAGCTTGGTGGTGACACAGCTCACCCTGGTATCACCACTTACTCTAGACATTGTCTCATTGGTATTTCTTTTATTTGTATCACTACTTATCCTGCTACATGTGATACCATTAACCCTGATATCACTACTAATGTTGCTACTTGTATCATAACTGTAACTAAACCTTGCCTCACCACTCCATGTTGTGTCACCAATTCTATTACTTTCACCCTTCGTCAACCTTTCATTAGTGTCACCACTTAAATTATTTATTCTATCACCACAGAGTCCACTTCCGGTTTCGTCGACTTCCTTTTTAACCTTGACCAGAGAAAGTGGTGACCCGGGTTCATCAGACCCATTCATCTGACCCAAGTGTCTGACTTGCGCTAGGGGATTCCCCGCTAATGGTGAGTACATATACCCCAGGGGGTAGCCCGTGTACGGGGTGTAGAAAGCGCCGTAGGGGTTCGACCACCCCACCCCCTGATCACGTGAGTAAGGCGGCCCACCTGGAGTGTGTTGTAACACACCTGGGCTGGTGTGTTGTCCGTCGTGAGCGATAGCACGTCTGGTGTTCGTGTGAGTGCTGTGCTTGACAGATGGTTTTACCGCTTTGGGTTTTGGTGACCCGTTTGGAGAAGGCGCCGAGAGACAATGTCCTGTAGGATATTGTCCTATTGGAACAGGTCCTGAGGGAGAAAGTCCTACGGGAGATGACCGCAGATTCACTGGACTCACGTTTTCTTCACTGTCTGAAAATTATCGAAAAATATTTTGTTATTTCTAAAGTGGTCTTTTTGGTCAATTTGAAATGTATTATTGTCCTTTCTGTCGTGGTAATTTCTTAAATGGTGAATTCAGAAGTGGTCATTTCTAAAAATGCCATTTTGAAGTGTGTGAATAGGTAATTTCTAAAGTGGTCATTTCTTAATGGATAATATCTTGATAGATTTATTCCCGTATACTTCATAGAATTTGATTAGCTTAGACACAATGATCCCCTTACCTTCTTCCTGTGATTGAGAGTTGTTTCGTTTGGCCATTTCTCTGAAAAAAATATCTGGCTAGTTATACTTGTGCCACATTGAGTCTACCAAAATCAAACAAATAGTCAGGTCATTTCCCCACCCCCATCCTCACCCACAGTAAGTATTAAGTAAGAATCCACTGCTTGATAGACCTTATATTTTGAAGCAGTAGAAGTAGAAAAAATGGAGACAAAGAAATTGTTATTATTTAAAATTAAATTCAAGTTCTGCCAAGCATCTAATGAAGAGACAGACCCACGTGATCTGACTGCACCAATCTAAAGATACCCACATGCACCAATCAAGTGACACTCACGTGGTCTGGATGCACCAATCAAATCAACTCTCACGAATCCAGCTAAATTTAAAACTCACTTTTTGCTGATGGCGAACCGGAAGCCGTTAGCGAACGGGTTGTGTTCTATTTTCATCTGGGTCACCTTCTCGTTTTGGTACTGGGTCACAGCCACGAACTGGGTCTCTGGCTGGGGGATGCTGACCGTCATGGCGCCCCCTAGCTCTGTGACGGTCAAGGTCATCTGGTACCGCCTCATGGACTGCAGGACGATCTGTAGGTCAAGATTAGTGCTCGTCAGAACCGGCTTCCGGTTAACAAGGTTATAAAGTTATTGTTACTTTACACGGCTTGTCTAAATGGTTAAAAGTCAGAGGCGTAGCGAGGGGAAGGGTACATATGTCCCCGGGCGCCGAACCTAGGGCTCGCAAAAATGGGTGGAAAAAAATTAAAAGCTCATTTTAACTGCAGTTTTGCATTATAAATATAAAAATATATGGGGGGGGGCAAATTGAAATTTTGTCTCCGGGCGCCGGGCCGGGAAGGGTCGCTATGCCTCTGTTAAAAGTAAGTTGTTGTTTTTTTTTTATTCTAAGTTAAACTTGACTACCATCATCGATATTATTAACCGCAGCAGATCAAGGTCAATGATGAAAAAATTATAGCTACTAAAGTTATTATTCGAAGTCTTTAAGGTTGATTTCAATAGTTGTCAATATGGTTATCCCAAATTAAGACATAACTATCGTTAATATTTGGGCTGAAACTTAAACGTAATTAAAGACATCAGTCCGAGTTATGTGTGATCAAGAAACACGGTTTCTACTGAATGTTAAGATATAAGGTGATAATTGACATCACTGTAGAGAGCTAAGTGGCTTAGCTCCAGGGTCGGGTGTGTGAACAGTAATAGACAAGGGTCAAATATCCATCAATGTCTAGGTCAAATCTAAATGTCAAGGTCGCGCATTAGTGTTGATGTTACGTTCTCGTGACAAAGGTGAACTTACTGAGGTCATAGGTCAGCTGCCAGAATCAAAGGTCATAAATGTTAACTGGGTGACTGTCAAGGTCACCCCCAAGGTCAGTGTCGTCAAATTTCAACTATGTGCCTGCCAAAGAAACCCCAAGGTAATGTCATCCTATGTCAACTGTTTGACTGTCAAGGTCACCCCCAAGGTCAAATGTCAGTGTGAGCACGTGTACCACTCACGGTTCCCAGCGCCTCCATGTTGTTGGAGATCTTGAGCCCCGAGAATGAGATAGGCTCCAGCATCCAGCGGGCGCCACTGTTGGGGGACAAGGGGTGCAGGTACTTGTCTCTCCCCGGGACGGGCGTGGGGTAGTGGTTCGAGCCCTCCTTAGACACGACCCATTCACCGTTCAGATACTTGTGGACCTGTAAGAAAATTAAATGCACCGTTCAAATACTTGTGGACCTGTAAGAAAATTAAATGCACCGTTCAAATACTTGTGGACCTGTAAGAAAATTAAATTCACCGTTGTTTCCTTCATATGTACATTTTGTTTCGTGTTTTATGATAATTTCTGCGTGTGGGAAAACCAGAACTAATTTACTAAGTATTTTATCAATGTTCTAATTAGTTTTAATTTAGAAAAATATAATTACCGCATTGTCGACTGATTTGAGCTCTATATAAACGTTGTAAAGTTTATCTTTGTCAAGATCACATATAACGTATGTAGGTATGGGGAAAACTCGTCTGAAAATAAATGTTTTAAATAATTATTTATATGATTACAATATTCCTTCAGTATTATGATGATAATAAATAGTTGTATCCTATGTTTATTTAGAGGAGTAGCGTGTCTATAGTCTATGGACTTATTCTCTATTCAATGTGTGCAGTCAACTTATGGCTCTTTTGCTTCGAGATAAAAATCACGCGCCCACATAAGTGACAACCTTTCCACTCAGGGATTCGTACCTAGACATAAATGATGAGATTGTGGGTTGCCCGTACATTATGGTCCTTCTCAACCTAGCCAGAATAGTCCTATGAAATGCTACACATTGACATAATTATTTAGTCTCTACCCACCGGCCTTTCTTGGTGATGATCATCTCTGTTCCAACCTGTCTGAAGCGGTTCCAGAGGTCAGCGTCCAGCAGGTAGACGGTCACGTGGTCATGTTGTTTCCTGATACACCCACTGGTAGAGAGATGGTCAGTTTCAATTAGACGTGTCGGATACGTCAATACAAAAATTATGTTATTTAAAATTATATATATATATATATATATATATATATATATATATATATATATATATATATATATACACGCGTCTATCTATATTTACATACATAGGAATTTGTGTGTGTGTGTGCGTCAAGACCACGAAGGAAACAGCTACGGTAAAAGTGAAATCTATTCCACCAATCAAAACCTCACCTGGAATCTTTCTTACCAGCCGGCAACTTCTCTGTCAAAAACCTGGGCAGCTGTGGCAGGTACTTGGACGTTATTTCCGGTGTCATGTCCACGTTATTTTTTCTGACTTTGCCGCCATGTTTGTCAGTCTGGGCATCGGCCCCACCCCACCTCCGCGACGTATCCATGGTAACTGAAACATAAACAGAAAAAAGTTGTTGAACCTTTTTGCTAGGATGCACATTTTTGTTTTTGTTATTTTGTTGCTTCCACGGGGAAGGGTGTGCGTGTGGGGGTGGGGGTGGAATGAACTAGACAACTGCTAGCGCCCTTTCTATTTCTGGTAAGTAACTATATATCGAAAGTACGTATTTTAATATTGGGCTCGCTGACTTTCTATCATGTAGCAACATCAGTTTTTACACTGATACACTACACTTATGTGCAACTGAACAAGGATCACAAGCCTGTACTTGTTATATTGAATTCAGTGGCAGAAAGTTGAAGCAGTGTAGTTCAGTCACACAACACATGCAGTATATAGGTGAGTCACAACATGTGCAGTATATAGTTGAGGCACAACATATGCAGTATATAGTTTAGTCACAACATATGCAGTATATAGGTGAGTCACAACGTATGCAGTATATAGTTTAGTCACAACATATGCAGTATATAGTTCAGTCACAACACATGCAGTATATAGGTGAGTCACAACATGTGCAGTATATAGTTGAGTCACAGCAAATGCAGTATATGCTAGGAGACACATATATTCTATTTTTAGAAATGTAGGCCTACAGTATGGGCCCTACATGACTGGCTTGTCCTTGATATTATAATAATTGACCTGTAATTCTTAATCTTGGACATGTGTGGAACATGTCTTACCTGGTACATGTGTACACAATCTTGACCTGGTTTACCTTTGTACACCTGTACGCATTGTTTGCATGTCTGATACATGTGTACACAATGTTGACCTGGTTTACCTTTGTACTAGTGTACACAATGTTTGCATGTCTTACCTTATACATGTGTACACAATGTTGACCTGGTTTACCTTTGTACTAGTGTACACAATGTTTGCATGTCTTACCTTATACATGTGTATACAATGTTGGCCAGGTTTACTTTTATACAGGTGTACACAATGTTTGCATGTCTTACCTTGTATACGTGTACAAAACGTTAACACATTTTACCTGTTGGCCTGTCGTATCTGTAACACTTACTGTACAGTACCCTACAATCTATCATACCTGTAACACTTACTGTACACTACAACTTATCATACCTGTAACACTTACTATACACTACCCTACAATCGGTAATACCTGTAACACTTACTGTACAGTACCCTACAATATATTATACCTGTAACACTCACTGTCCAGTACCATACAATCTATCATACCTGTAACACTTACTGTACACTAACCTACAATCTATCATACATATAACACTTACTCTACAGTACCCTACAATCTGTCATACCTGTAACACGTACTGTTCAGTACCCTACAATCTACCATACCTGTAACACTTACTGTACCCTACAATCTATCATACCTGTAACACTTACTGTACCCTACAATCTATCATACCTGTAACACTTACTGTACCCTACAATCTATCATACCTGTAACACTTACTGTACACTGCCCTACAATCTGCCATACCTGTAACACTTACTGTACACTGCCCTACAATCTGCCATACCTGTAACACTTACTGTACAGTACCCTACAATCTAACATACCTGTAACACTTACTGTACCCTACAATCTATCATACCTGTAACACTTACTGTACCCTACAATCTATCATACCTGTAACACTTACTGTACACTGCCCTACAATCTGCCATACCTGTAACACTTACAGTACACTACAATCTGTCATACCTGTAACACTTACAGTACACTACAATCTGTCATACCTGTAACACAGTACACTACAATCTGTCATACATGTAACACTTACTGTACAGTACCCTACAATCTATCATACATGTAACACTTACTTTACACTACCCTACAATTTGTCATCAAACCAACACAGACTAATCGTGAGGATAGTTGGTGACATGAGACGACAGAACACACGTGTTCCCTGCCCCCGTGTTCCATGTTTGCTTCCCACGAGTTCCATTGTTTACTGAGGTGATGTTTCACACCTTCTGTAACCTGCCCTCACGGGTGTGTGTGAGGTGTGTGTGAGATGTGTGATAAGGCGAGGTGATTGGGGGGGGGTATTTTTTACAATCCGTCTGAGCTATAACTTTTAAAACTACACACACACACACAGAGATTTCACATGGCCACTAGCTCCACCCCCTACCCCTCCCACACTACACACATGGTTTCATCTTGATGTACTATCCACTCACTCACTTGTTGAAACAAAGTCCACATATAAAATAGCCGATGTAATTTTTTTCATATGTTCTGTATTGTTTATTAAACATACTCATGAAATTAAATTACTTCAAGGTTCAGCTGTAAATTGTGCGGGGGGGGGGGGGGAGGCGAGTTCAATAATAATATGGACCACCTTTACTGTAAGGGAATTGCTATGAAGTTGAAATCTAACACATTACTGTAAAGTTAGTCCAAGAATAAAAGGATTAGGTCTAGTCGGGTATGTTCGGGGTGTTTTTTTCTTTCGATAATCTGAAACAAACTGTATACAAAATTGTATTGATTTTCTAAATAACTTAGAAAGCAACTGCAGCGCTGCTGTTAGGTAAGTTCATTACTCGACATATCTCACCCCCCCCCTCCCGCGGTACTGTAAGATTAGGTGGACCTTTGACTTGTTCAATGGTTGTGTTATGAACATAAGTATAAGCTCGCTTGGTAATTTTGCTTTAACGAGTTTAGTTAGATGCTAATGTATTCAACAAATAAGTGGTTGATTTTTTATATCAAACAAAATACATAAGGTAAAATAATTATTCTCATTATTAGTTGTGTAGAAACACCATCTGTTATAATGCGCTATTTAGGCATGACAACTGTATACAGTGAGCGGAAGGTTCACAGAAAAAAGTCAGTGTTTGCTAAGTAAAAAAAAATAATAATAGAAACATTTTATCGGAAAAAAGTAGCAGTAACAAAGTCAATAAACGTTCTAAAAATATGTTGAAGAACTTGTTGAGAATTGTAAAAATTTTTGGTGTTTAAACATGTGAATGTTGTTTTAGTAACATTTTTCTAAACTTTTAACGCATTTGACCCATATAGCTTACTAGCCGTCCCGGCCAGGCCCTGCTCTGGCTTCTGTGAAAAACCTTTCTGTTAAAGACCATTACCTGTGTGTTTAGTAATCATCATAAACCCGGCATTGCACACCCAAGCCCAAACCAAAACAACGAAACGCAAACATAAAGCTAACACAATTACAAATACAAACGAAAACAAAAACCTAACAACTAACCCAACCATAACCACAAACACCAATACGAACACAAAGAAAAAAAACAAACGAAAAAGCAAACGAAAACAAACCAAATCCAAATGCAAAACCAACCACAAACCCAAAGAAAAAAACACAAACGAAAAAACAAACGAAAACAAACCAAATACAAACGCAAAACCAAACGCAAAACCAACCACAAACACAAATACAAACACAAACGCAAAGAAGATAAAACACAAACGAAAACGAAAAAAGAAAGAACAAAAACGAACCAAATCAAAACGCAACCACTAACGCAAACCCAACCTAAACACAAAGAAAACACTAACGCGAACACAAACGCACAGTGCTCAGAGTCGAGCCCGGGGCGGAATCGCCTGTCTCAGCTTAATAAACGACTATAGTACCCCAACTTATTCATAGTCTTTTGCACTCACTTTAATGAACGTAGGCGCGAAACCGAACACGGGAGGCCCGGGACCCCAAATAGCACCCTGTCTGGGCGCCAGAGGACGCACCATGACGTCACCGCCTGATTGAACTTAGTAAACGCCTATAGTGCATAACTTATTCATAGTCTTTTGAACTCACGCGAACGCAGATACCATAGCGTACACCGGAAGGCCCGGGGCGCCAAATAGCACCCTGTCGGGGTGCCGGAGGACGCCCGGATTTGATTCACTTAAAGACTATAGTAACCTTTCTTAACCATAGTCTATCGCACTGTTCAAAACAAAATTATGCAGCATAGCGCTCACATGATAGCCCAGGGTGCCAAATCGAACCGTGCAGGGGCGCCGGCGGACGCGCCTGTTTCAATTTAGTGAACAAAAATGATAATACTCCAAGCTTATCCGTAAATGGAAAGAAATAAACATATATGATTTGTAGGACCTGGCTTATTAAATGTTATTGATTTAAAAAAAAAAAAATTATTGAACAGTATGTTCAGTGTATAGAATAAATAAAAGGCAGTGTTAAAAATACCTAACGACATTGCACTTAATCAATCCCCGCTAATTATGTAATTTTTTTTTTATTTCTTAACACCAAAAACAAAGTAATAAAATGTAAATTCTTTCTTTTTAAGAATTTTTTTTATTAAAGGGAAGTAACTGTGCAGTCAATACATTTCCGACACAATTTTAGAAATTTTATAAACGTCGATACACTTTTTAAACATTTTGTGTCGCGTTCATAATTGAAAATTATTCTTCTAAGTAAATAGAGTGAACATTGTTTTAAAGACTTTCAATGGTAATTTTTTGACTCGTAAATTTAGACTATGAGCACGATAAAAAATCTAACACTTAAATCCATAGAACTGTCAACGACAAACTTTTTTTTGCCACACGTTACAGAACTGAGCTTTATATATTAATACTAATAGTTTCGCTGTCTGTCTATCTATCTATCTATCTATCTATCTATCTATCTGTCTGACAAGAACGCTCTAGAGAAAACACAAGGAAAATAAAAACATGCATAGTAATTCGAAAAACGAAGTATGACGTCGACACATTTAGCGCACAGAGTAGAAAATAATCTCAAGCCGGATAGTGCACACATTGATATGACGTCATTGATTTGGTCTAATTTGGTCTAATCTAAGTGGTTTGCGTGAAGTTTCTTTCATACAATTCTTCGGGTAGGGGCGAAGCCCCACCCCCGCGTAAGAACGTCTGAGCCCCCCCCCCCCCCCCCCCCCTCTCCCCAACTCAAAAGAAATTTCCTCATCGATACTCTATAATAAAATTACCGCCTAATTAATGTGTCTAATCTAAAAAGTGGTTTTCTTGCAATTTCTTTAATGCAATTCTTCGCGTAGTGGCTATGCGCGACACCAGTGTTTCTTTCAGACTTTTTCCTCCACGGAGAGGGGTGTGGGTACTTGAAATTTTCGGGGGCGGGGGTAGAATTTTCGGGGAGGGGGCGGACACTGGAAAAAGTAAATAATAATATTTCGTTGAATGGGACGGTAGACATGTTTTTTAGGGGGGGTGGTGGGGGTGTGGGGGGGTGTGTGGGTGGGTGGGGGGTGGTGTGTGTGGTGGTGGGGTTTGGGGGGTGGTGTGTGTGGGGGTGGGGGGTGGGGGGTGGTGTGTGTGGGGGTGGGGGGGGGGTGTGGGGGTGGGGGGTGTGGGGGTGTGGGGGTGGGGGGTGGGGGGGTGGTTTTAGTTTAGAGAAAAGAGACAGCACTATCAGCCTAGCGCCCGGTGTATCCTTCCTCAACGGGCCATTTTTCTCGTCTATAATAATAGTTTCGCTGTCTGTCTGACAAGAACCCTCTGTCTGACAAGAACGCTCTGTCTCTATAATAATAGTTTCGCTGTCTGTCTGACAAGAACGCTCTGTCTGACAAGAACGCTCTGTCTGACAAGAACGCTCTAGAGAAAACACAAGCAATTTAAAAACATGCATAGTATTTCGAAAAACGAAGTATGACGTCGACACATTTAGCATAGAGTTGAAAATAATCTCAAGGCGGAAAGTGCACACAGTAATATAATGACGTCATTGATTATCGCGTAAACATTGAATAAAAAGGAAATTTTGTCTAATCTAAATGGTTTGCGTAAGAACGTCTGAGCCCCCCCCCCCCCCTCCCCAACTCAAAAGAAATTTCCTCATCGATACTCTATAATAAAATTACCGTCTAATTAATGTGTCTAATCTAAAAAGTGGTTTTCTTGCAATGGGACGATAGACATGTTTTTTTTTGGGGGGGGGGGGGTGGGTGGAGGGGTGGGTGGGGGGGTGGTGTGTGGGGGGGTGGTGTGTGGGGGTGGGGGGGGGTAGGGGGGTGGTGTGTGGGGGGGTGGGTTGGTTTCAGTGTTTCTTTCAGACTTTTTCCTCCCCGGAGAGGGGTGGGGGTACTTGAAATTTTCGGGGGCGGGGGTAGAATTTTCTGGGAGGGGGCGGACACTGGAAAAAGTATATAATTATATTTCGTTGAATGGGACGGTAGACATGTTTTTTTGGGGGTGGGGGGTGGTGGAGGGGTGGGGGGGGGTGGTGTGTGGGGGTGGGTGGGGGGGTGGTGTGTGTGTGGGGGGTGTGGGGTGGGGGGTGGTGTGTGGGGGGGGGGGTGTGTGTGGGGGGGGTGGGGTGTGGGGGGGGTGGGGGGTGTGTGGGGGGGTGGGTTGGTTTCAGTGTTTCTTTCAGACTTTTTCCTCCCCGGAGAGGGGTGGGGGTAATTGAAATTTTCGGGGGCGGGGGTAGAATTTTCTGGGAGGGGGCGGACACTGGAAAAAGTATATAATTATATTTCGTTGAATGGGACGGTAGACATGTTTTTTGGGGGGGGGGGGGGTGGGGGGTGGGGGGGGCGGTGTGTGGAGGGGGTGGTGTGTGGGGGTGAGGGGTGGGGGTGGTGGGGGTGGGGGGTGGGGTGGGGGTGGTGTGTGGGGGGGTGGGTTGGTTTTAGTTTAGAGAAAAGAGACAGCACTATCAGCCTAGCGCCCGTTGTACCCTTCCTCAACGGGCCATTTTTCTCGTTAGATAATATTAATCCAAATTTCATCTTCGTAATAAGAACAAAATATAATTTACACACATTTTGTTACAATTTATTTCAATACTCAGAAGAAAAACTTAATAGAAAGAAAATGTAGTGCCATTGTGTTTCTGGGTATGGTTGGCGGGTAAACGGAAAAAAAGTCACAGGAAAAAAAAACACAGAAAAAAAGTCACAGTTTTTGCTAGGAAAAAAAGTCACAGAAAAAAAGTCACAGTGGAAAAATGTTATCGGAAAAAAAGTCACAGAAATAAAATCACAGAAAAAAAGTCACAAAAATATTTTTACAAATATTTTTATTTATTTGTTTAGAGTTGTAAAATTGTGTATGTTTATTGTTGTGGGTTATATTTTTTATAGCATAAATTATTTATAGACGTTAAAAGCATTATGGTTTATAACAATTGTAAGTAAAAATACTCTAATATAATTTACACAACAATCTCAACATTTGTAACGTATTTAGTTAAAAACGCGGTAGAAAATTTAATTATAAAAGAAATTTATGCAAATTTTGCCGTAGGCTATTCTCTGGTCGGCCTCTCCTCAGTGGGCATTGTCCTAATATATTTTATGTTGTTGACGTCATGCGTCAATGACAGGCTTTCAACCTTGTCGGCTTTCTGTTTTGATCCTAAGTTTTGTTATGTAATGAGCGTGATAAATGTGGGCAGTAAAGGTGGTTGAACTAAACATCTAATTCTAAACATAACTATTGTTGCCATGAGTTGAGGGCAGCAAGTCAGATGAACTTACCATTTCACGGTAATTTAATGTTGGTATTAAAAAAAAACAGGATTAAAACCTTGGACTTTGGAGCATTCTATTAAACGCTACTAATGTTAAGTTTAACATAATTACAATCTACATACTTCATACTAAATATTTTTAGATGAATTATAAAAATTACTAAGCGTATACAGCCTACACACATTACATTTAATTAATCCAAAGTTAATTTGCACTCTCTAAATATTTAATACATAAAAGTATTAACAAGTATCATGCAAATATATATTTGTGACTTTTTTTCCTGTGACTTTTTTTCCTGTGACTTTTTTTCCTGTGACTTTTTTTCTGTGTTTTTTTTTCCTGTGTTTTTTTTTCCTGTGACTTTTTTTCCTACAATCGGTTGGCGATAGGGGTTAATGACAGCCTTAGAACCGTGTTTCACCATTTCACGCGAATTCAAAATTAGAAACACGATGAAAGCTGAGTAGGTTTGAACATTCGATTAAATTCTACGCAATTCTAACCAACTATAATCAACTTACATCTGACTAAATAGTGTGTACGTGTTATATATAATGCCATAAAAATACAACCAACGCACTTATATCTAAGACGTTTACGTGACATTTAAAAGATCCTATGATGATTTGCACGTATTGAATACTTAATAAAGTAGACCTTATTTAAAATTCCATGCAAACACACATTTGTTACTTTTTCCTGTGAATATATTTCTCACGATCTTGTATCTAAAACTACCTGTAACCTTACAGCACTTTATCATTGACTACCATCCTACATATTATAGATAAATGATAAGCACCCAGCTTACCATTTCATAAATTACTATACAATTAAGTGCTACACTAATTGTCTGAATTAAGAACAAATTATCAGAGACATCAGTCCCCCCCCCTACATGTTATTGCTTTATACAACCGTAATGCAGTGGGTCATTACTGAGGTTTTACCACTACAGGTCATTAGTAAAACGTGATAACAATAGGTTAATTATAAAATCGTGATTACATCAAGTCATTATCAATATATCAAAAACATTCACGTGATGTAATGGGCAGTGGTGAAGTTTTTGACTGCTAGAGTTGTAGACCACACATATTATACTAAAATTTAAATTTAAAAAAATGTATCACTCACAGTTTTAAATGGACAAGCGTTGTCTTCAAGATAGTCCACCAACATTTGAGTCCAACCTGGTCAAATACGTCACGTAATCCCAACGATCCTATTGGATGATAACCAGATAAACAGTTACGTCACTTGACTTTAATCTTCCGAGTGGCCAATATTTACTTCAGTTTCCGTTTAACTAACTCAGAATTTAACTTAAACCCTGCATATGTTCCACACGAGTTAAACGACTCTATGGATACAGGGTCTACAGTAGGAAATGTAAATCAGGTCTTCTTCAACTCAACACCGTACGCTACAGTGGTCAGTTTTACAGCCTTCAGTGGTCAGGGACGAGTGGTCAGCTGGGTATTATGGTCCAAGATTATGACCCCAGGCTCTGTGTAACTTGTGATGGTCATGTCATTAAGAGTAAACGTAATTGGCGATAAGAGGGCGGTGTACTACATTTGAAACCATCCAGATTATTTTTACAATGTCCGTTTTTGACTTTTTTTTACAGTTGACCTACAAATTAAAACTGCTTAAACTTTATAAATATATAAATATATATATATATATAAATATATATATATATATATATATATATATATATATATATATATATATATATATATATATATATATATATATATATATATATATATATACTGATGTAATCATTACCTTTGTATTCACTATGTGATTAAATATGTGATCAACTCCTACTCAATAATTTAAACACAAAGTACATTTATAATAAAAAATATGTTTCATATTTAGGGCCTACCTGAAGAAAATTAGAAAAAAAAATAGCTCAAGCAACTTTCACGTTCGATATGTTCCGAGTGTGTAAGCATAAGTATCGTAGGGCTAGTCTATATAGTATTTAGTTGATCTAACTTCCAACCCTGCGCGAATTTTTTTCCGAGGAGACAAAACTGACCAGACACCGTATTCTCACACCTCAAGGACCACGTGCTAGCACCTGTGAGTTCAGACTGCTATCACCGGCAAGACGGTATGACCGGCCTGCCCTTCTTCCCACCATAACCGTTGTCTTATCCAACACCCCCCCCCCTCCGTCCTCACGCCATAAACACCCCCACCCTCTCCCCTTGTGTGGCTTTCTTTGTCTCCCCAATACCTGCTGATATGGCCTATACGTCATCGATAGTCTATAATGATGTCAAGCTTTCAACACACGGCCGTTTGCTACGTGGGGTCGCACAACTTATTTAACAACATAATTCGCGCTCAAAGTAAAAATAAAAAATTGGTTGTCTTACAAATTGTGACCTTACAATTTGCTCTCGGATTCATTGAAACTCATAATATTCAAGCATTTTTTAAATTTCTTTTTTTTTTAAAGTAATTACAATAGAAATGACCAATGTTTAGCCTGAAAAGGGGATTTAGATAAAAACAAATTCGCACTTTAAATTTATTGTTGTGTTTGTTTATTTATTGAGAAACATTTTGAAGTGATAATTTTTACATTAGAACAGTAGAAAGTAGATTCAATTTTTGCTGTGACTAGCAAGTAGAAGGTAGATCTAATGCTTGCTATGACTTGACTATGCCAGTAGAAAGTAGATTTAATGCTTGCTAAGAATAGACCCATAGAAAGTAGATCTAATGCCTGCTGTGATTAGGCCCATAGAAAGTAGATCTAATGCTTGTTTAGACTAGGCCAGTAGAAAGTAGATCTAATGCTAGCTGTGACTAGCCCAGTAGAAAGTAGATATAATGCTTGCTATGACTAGGCCAGTAGAAAGTAGATCTAATGCTTGCTATGACTGGGTCAGTAGAAAAAGAGCCAAGCCGATATGACCAACCAAGCGATTTAGCCCTGAGGTTTCGCATCTAGGCCGAGGTTTACCTCAAGTAGTTTATCATCCCGAATCAACAGACGTTGTGTGACGTAACGTGACGTCACAGCGTGACACGTCATTCACACCAGGAATAGCCATTGGCTAGTTTCGGCCGGCTGTAAGACGGTCTGGGCTGGCGGATTCGATACCGCCATGGCGAGGTGTGAGGTCTGGGTGCAAAGTGGCGTTCACAGTCTGTTGTGTGTGTGGGGGGGGGGGGGGGGGTATCATGGTGGTGTGAGAGATCTTACGTGCGTCGGGAGGGGGGGGGTAACCTTACGTTCACAGTCTGTTGTGTGTGGGGTGTGTGTGTGTGGGGGGGGGGGGGGGTATCATGGTGGTGTGAGAGATCTTACGTGCGTCGGGAGGGGGGGGGGGTAACCTTACGTTCACAGTCTGTTGTGTGGGGTGGAGGGGGGGGTATCACGGTGGTGTGAGAGATCTTACGTGTGTCGGGAGGGGGGGGGGTATCACGGTGGTGTGAGAGATCTTACGTGTGGGTGTGAGAGATCTTACGTGTGTCGGGAGGGGGGGGGGGTAACCTTACGTTCACAGTCTGTTGTGTGTGGGGTGTGTCAAGGTGGTGTGAGAGGTCTTACGTGTGTAGGGGTGGGGAAGGGGGGTAGGGAAGGAAGGGGGGGGGGGGGGGGGGGGGTTCAAACCGGTGAGCAGAAAAAAGCCACTAGAAAAAAAAATCAGAAAAAAGGCACAAAGGAAATGTTTTATCGGAAAAGTCACAGAAATAAAATCACAGAGAAAAAAGTTACAAAAATCTTCTAAGAAATATTTTGATTTAATTGTTGAGAATTGTCAAATATTTGGTGTTTATTAATGATGATTGAGGTTTTTTTCGGTAGCATATTTATACACTTAAAAAGCATTATGGTTTATAACAATAATAAATAAAAATACTATAAGATAATGTACACAGTAACCTCAAGTTTTGTTTCGTATTTAGTTAAATACGCTGTAGAAAAAATAATTATATTATTAATATAAGATATAAGTATTACTTATAAGCTACAACACTAAAGCGAACATGCAAGGTAAACTGACGCTGTAAATTACGGTGAACGGAAAAAAAGTCACAGAAAAAAAGTTACAGTGGAAAAATTTTATCGGAAAAAAGTCACAGAAATATAGACACAGAAAAAAAGTCACAAAAATCTTTTTAGAAATATTTTTATTAATTTGTTAAGAATTTTAAATTTTTTTATGTTTATTGTTGTGAGTTGTATTTTTTGATAGCATAAATTATTTATAGACTTTAAAAGCATTATGAATTAAAACAATTGTAAGTAAAAATACTCTAAGATAATTAACACAACAATCTCAACTTTTGTTACGTATTTAGTTAATTAAATACGCGGTAGAAAAGTTAATTATAAAAGAAATTTAGGCACATTTTGCCGTAAACTATTCTCTGGTCGGCCTCTCCTCAGTAGGCATTGTCCGAACATATTTTGTGTTGTTGACGTTATGCGTCAATGACAGCCTTTGAACCTCGTCGGCTTTCTGTTTTGATCCTAAGTTTTGTTATGTAATGAGCGTGATAAATGTGGGCAGTAGTGGTGGTTGAACTAAACATAACTATTGTTGCCATGGGTTGAGGGCAGCAAGTCAGATGAACTTACTATTTCACGGTGATTTAATATTGGTATTTAAAAAAAAAACACGATGAAAAACGTGGACTTTGGAGCATTCTATTAAATGCTACTAATCTTAAGTTTAAAATAATCACAATCTACATACTTCATAATAAATATTTTTAGATGAATTATAAAAAGTATACAGCCTACACACATTACATAACATTTAATTAATCCTAAGTTAATTTGCACTCTCTAAATATTTAATACATAAAAGTATTAACAAATATCATGCAAATATATATTTTTGACTTTTTTTCCTGTGACTTTTTTCCTGTGACTTTTTTTCCTGTGACTTTTTTTCCTGTGACTTTTTTTCTGTGTTTTTTTTTTCCTGTGTTTTTTTTTCCTGTGACTTTTTTTTCTACAATCGTAAATTACATGTCCGAGGCGAAAAAAAAGTAGAAAAAATAATTATATTTAGGCACATCATCGTGTTTTGCATATGTTTTTGCAGTATGCCTTATCTTTGGATTGTAGAGAAAAAAGTCGCAGGAAAAAAAACACAGGAAAAAAAAGTCACAAATATATATTTGCATGGAATTTGTTAATACGTTTATGTGTTAAATATTCAGTGAGTGCAAATCAACCTAGATTAATTAACTGTAATGTAGTGTGCGGGGGGGGGGGGGGTGTATATGTATAGTAATATTTACAGCAAACGTAAAATTATTTAGTCTTTGTCCATCCATATTGTGTATTTTACTTTGTGTCAATGACAGCCTTTGTACCGCGTCGGCTTTCTGTTCTGATCCTAAGCTTTGTTATGAAATGAACGTGATAAATGTAATGTGGGCAGTAAAGGTGATTGAACTATTGTTGTAATTAAATTAGGGCAGTGAGCCACAATAACTTTGTCTTTATGCTATTTCACTCTAATATAATGTCGGTATTAAAAAACACGATTAAAACCGATAAGGCTTAGAACATTCTATTAAATTCTATTAAATATTATATATTACACACTTCACACTAAATATTTATATGTGTGGAATAAATATTACTATACGTAGACAATTTACGCACATTATATTACATTTAATAAATCGTAGGTTGATTTGCATTTATTGAATAATTAAAACATTAAGGTGTAAACGAATTCCATGCAAACACACATTTATGACTTTTTTCTTTATTTTTTTTCCTACAATCGATCGTAACACACGTTGAATTGAATTTAACTATTTTTTTTTTTTTTGGTAAACGGAATAAAAGTCAAAGGAATAAAAAAACACAGACAAAAAGTCACAGTTTTTGCTAGGAAAAAATGTCACAGAAAAAAAGTCACAAAAATATTCTAAGAAATACATTGATTTAATTGTTGATAATTATAAAATGTTGGGTGTTTATTAATGTGCGTGGTAATTGTTTCGGTAGCATATTTGAAAACTTTAAAACCATTATGATTTTTAACAATAACAAGTTAAAATACTGTGAGATAATGTACATAGCAACGTCAACATTTGTTAAGTATTTAGTTGAATACATGGTGAAAAATTATTAAAAAATAAATTTAGGCTCATCGTTGTGTTTGCATATGTTTTTGCCGTAGGCCTTACCTTGGTCGGCTTCTCCTCAGCCGGGTTTGTCCGACCATATTGTGTGTTCTTTACGTTTTGCGACAAAGACAGTCTTTGAACCGTGTCGGCGTTCTCTATTGATCCTAGGCTTTGTTACGTAAAGAGCGTGACAAATGTGGTCAGTAAAGGTGGTTGAACTATTGTTGTAATTAAATTAGGGCAGCGAGTCACAATAATTATAT